TGCAATAATTAATAAAATGTGCCAGCACGAGAAAATAAGGTGCAGCCTTGTGCTAAAATGCACGTGACATGTGTCACACGAACGAGTTCCATAATTGAATTTTTTTTTTATGTTTTCGAGTTACATCATATTAATTATTGCAACAAATATCAATTAATCTAGTTAGATAGCTACTATTTTTGCGTGCCTTTGCTCATTGTTTTTGATTGAAGAATTATTTGGGTTACTATCAAGGTCAGACACGGTTATGCAACCGATTTAAGTACATATAAATACAACACGTACATGTGTGACAGTGGAGGTCAATATTCGTTTTAGTTCTTAGGTAATCCTAACTAATATTATAAATGGGAATGTAAGTTAGTATGTATGTTTGTCGGCTTTTCACGCCTTAACTACCCGACCGATCATCATGAAATTTTGTAGAAACATTGTCAGGGGTACAGAAAAGGACATAGGGTATCTTTATACAGAAAAAAGTTATGTTCCCGGGGTATAGAAATATTAATTCAATGTGGTCGATTTCACATCTTAACTACTCAATCGATCATCATGAAATTTTTTGGACACATTATCAGGCATACAAAAAAGTACATAGTGTACCTTTTATCCAGAAAAAGTGTTGTTCCCGAGGGATAGAAAAATATTAGTTTTATGTGGTCGATTTCACACTTAATCGATACTTAATCGATAATAATGAAATTTTATAGAGATATTGTTAGGGATACAGAAAAGGACATAGTCTACCTTTTATCTAGAAAAAAATACTGTTCCCGAGGGATAGAAAGATCCGTTTTATGTGATCGTCGATGATTATTGACACGTATCTATGAAATAATTTACAATTATTAAAGCTGTAAGAAGGAATTTACTAAAAAAGCTGACTGTTATAATGTCCTTATGCTGTTGGCGTGTAATTTTAGTTAAACCTGTATTGAATCTATAACAAAAGAATACTTATTTTCATGGTTTGTAGTCGTTAATTAATTTAGTTAAAAAAAGTAAGTAGTAAAACTCATTTAATTAATTTAGATTAAACGCTTGAATCCATTTTCATCTTCTATCTTCTTAGTGTTCTATAAAGAATTCCAACTACACAAAAAGTTCACAGACAATTGTTACATTTTAAATAACATTCACAAGATAAAAATTAAAAAAGATCGTTGCACTGATCTAGTAGCACTCAATTTCATCTTTTTCAT